CTTTCTCACAGGAATTCTTTCTTGTTTTGGGTTTTTTTGGTTTTTTTTTGGTGAGGGTAATAAAGGAGGGGTTGATATCACACTCTGGTGAGAAGGATCAGAACTTAAAAATCCCCCATGGATCCAACAGCAGAAATAGGTGGAAGATGACCAAGAGAGAAAGGAAGCTCAGAGGAGGAACAGCGAATTTCTGCCCTGACCAGTAACCAACAATAAAGCAGACAAGATGGTAAACATTGCAAAAAGACAATTACTAATAATGAAAAGGCAACAGAAATTTTGGGCTGCTTCCACCAACTGAGTAAGGCGTTTTCAAACTGACAGCAACGTGCTGCTTGCCAAATGAAAATGAGAGCAAACAGCAAAGTTGTGCTTAACCCCTTTTTGCTTTTATGGTGCGTTTTAAACCCAGATGAAATCATGGAATTTGAAAGAAAAAGTCTACAAAGGAGACATTTTATTCAGCTCTCTGGTCAGTGTTTCCATCACTTCAGTACCCAGAATGCTCAGAAAAGTTATTCATCTTGGGTTCTTTCCTCAAAACCAGGTTCTTGAAAGCATGATGGGCTTCCAAGTGCAAAACCTGTGCGAGGAGCACTCGGATTTGGGAGAAACTGAAAGGGGATGGAGGATAAATGAATTTAGATTCTGACTTGCAGGAGGTGAGTGCTAAATGTGTGTTAATTGATAACCTGTAATTGCAGAACCCAAGAACTCCCTCAGGAACACCCAGCCCTGGAGTGGCAACAAGGACTGACCACTCTAAAGACAAAATCCTGGGATACTGAGCCACACAGGTGTGAAAAACAAGATGATTCCAGTGACTACRAACACCTCCAAATTATCCTCGCTTCGGTCCCGAGTGAGTCCAGCAGGAACTCCAAGAGCATCCAACAGCCAGGTGAGCACCAGCAGAGCTCCAGCCTCAGCCCTTGCCAGGGGCCTTTCCTTTCCATCCAACCAGCAGCATCACCAATTCAAAACAAATATTTACCCTCTCCYGACACAGGGGAATAAAAAGGAAATGTTTTGCTGCAAATCCAACTCTGCGTTCTCTTGTTCCTGCAAAGCTTCAGCCGCAAACAGGCTCGTAAATTTTCGTGAAACAGTCAAAAACAAAACACTGACACAAGCAGGTGAGACAAGAACAGAACAAACAGCCCCGACATCCCCGAATCTGGACCAGAAAAGGCATCTCGTGCCCGGAAAGCGCATCCGTGATGCCAGGAATTTGTGCTGATGGGCTTTGCAGAGACATCAGCAGCCAAGGGAGCCTTTGGATGTGCAGCAATTTGCACCTACGACAACCGGAGTGTAACGGGAACAGCAGCAGCGAGTCCGGCAGATCCCGCCCGTGGGTGCTCCGTGCCCACAGCCGGAGCGGCGGGGGATGCTCGGGGGATGCTCGGGGGGACAGAGGGACCCCGATCTGGGTCTGAACCGAGCTGGGGAACCATGAACCAACCCCAGACTGGCAGCAAAAACCGCGACACCTGCTCAGAGCTGAGAGCTAACCCCAGCCCCGGCCTGTCCCGAATGAGGAGATGGGGAACAGGCTGARGGAACCGCGATTGTCCTCAGAGCCGGGAGCGTCCCGGGATGRGGAACCGCGGGGACAGAACCGGGACCTGCCCACAGGAACTGAGATCTCTTCAGAGCCGGGGCCTGTCCAGAGCTGATGGAACGGGATCCCCCCTCAGAGCCGGGCCTGTCCCGGGATGATGCAACGGGGATCTTCCCTCAGCCACCGGCAAAGCATCGGGATCCCGGTCCGTCCCGGGGCCTGTCCCGGTGTGAGGAACCGGGACCCTCCTCAGCACGGCCGCAGCGCAGCGCAGCCCCCTCCCCGCCGGGCCCGCTCCCGCTCCGGCCGCACCRCGATGCCGCTGCCCCGACCCTCGGGCGGGGGACACCGGGGCCTCCCCCCGCGGCAGGTGCCGGTCTCCGGAGGATGCTGCGGGCCCGGTGGGCGGCGCGGGCCGGGCCCGGTGCCGCGGAACCGGGGGTGTGGGGAACGGGGGCCGTGAGGGGCGGGCTGAGGGGGCCTCCCCCACCGCGGGAACCGCCCGCCCCCGCCAGAGGGGCTCCGCGGGGGGGGCGCCGCCCCTCACAAACCCCCCCCGCCCGCCACAACCGGGGGCGGCGGCCGGGGCCGAGTCTCACCCGGTGCGCGCGGGTCAGGCTCAGGTCCTTCATGACCTCCTCGAAGGCCGCCGTCTCCTCCGCCTGCTTCTGGTTGTGCAGCGCGATCTTCTCGCTGAATTTCCGCGGGTTGTTCGAGGCCGCCATCTTCCCCCGTCCGCATCCCCCTCCCCGCGGCCGAGGGGGGGCGGCGCGCATGCGCGGGCGCAGGGAGGGGGGG